ATTCGAATATGATTAAAGAGAAATTAAAATATAATGAAATAAACAATAAAACTGATTTTAATATTAAATAAATCTATTCATTCAACCTTTTGTAGCAACATTTGACTTTTTCAAATATTCAATTAAAAACTTATTCTCAGTTTTTATATTGAATAACAAGTTCAAAGTTAATATATTCAATTCAAACTTCTTTCTTAATCTCAATTTTAGTTCTGAATACTTTATACAAAGTAATAAAAGATGCTTTGAATTTTCATATAATTATGTAAGAGATGGGCTACAAGAGTAATTACAAGAGTAGTGTGAAGTACGTACAAAGGATATTAATAAGGTAGCAATCTCTATTGTTCAAAGCTAATCGCTGATCTCCTAAAATCCACGGATATCAGCGAGCATTATATAGATAATATTGCCATCGCCACGTATCTATCGCCACGTATCTATTTCTTAATATAGATATCTCCGTTGCGTCTATTACAAATTAACAATCTGAACACAAATCATTTAAATCATCTTTAAACTTTGTTGAATATGATTTAAAATATTTATGTTCAAACTTTAACTATATCATTGTAGTAAAAGGTATCTTTTTACATTTTATTGAACAAGTTTTCCACTTTGGTTTTGTTTTAAATCTGGAGTAATGCACACTTTTTCTTTGCATAACTCAGATATCTTACTATTTTTACAGGCATTTTCAAGTTATCAAAATTAAAAATCATAATTTTATATGAAAATGAAATGAATTATAAATGTTTTTATAAACATCTCTTTATGAATGAGAGAAATCTTATTAAAGATAATACTGAGCTCCATAACTTTCTTCAGCAATAGTTTTTGCAAATAATGAACCTTCAGTAGCAATTAAACAATTTGAATATAAATATATCAAAAATTATATAAACATTGACTTTTTTTATATATGAGAAAAGAAAATATCTTCTCTTTTTAAATAAGTTTATGAAAGAGCTCTCAATCTATTTAATATGAAAATGAAAGATAAAAGTCAAGTTCAAAGAAAATGAATCAATAATAGACTTTTTTTTCATACAAATTCATTACATTCATAGTTAATTAGAAAAAAATGCTCTAACAAAGTTTTAATTTTGAATTAAATCATATATATATAAAATGTATATATCTAAAGAAGTCTTTCATCAATTGAACAATCTGTTCTTGAACTGTATCCTTCCAATATGTGTGATGCAATGATTAAACAGAAGTTGTCAGAGAAATATTTTATCAATGAACTATCTATTTGATTTTAACAGCAAGATATATAAAACAGAAGATCAGAATTAAAATGATGCTGTTAAAATCAATCTTCTAAATCAATATATTAACTTTAAACTGTTCAAACCCTGTATCTTACATTTCATATTCATGTATTATCATGATTACTGCATTCAATTGTGTCAATTCAACAACAATCTTACATGCTTCAACACTGTTCAAGAAAGTGATAGCAATTGTAGATAGAATTTTATATTTATTACTGCATCTACTGCATCAATTGCTTTTGCAGACATCATGGATTTAACTCTTTATGTGTAATAGGCGCAACGGAGATATCTATATTAGGAAATAGATAAGTGGCGATAGATACGTGGCGATGGCAATATTATCTATATAATAGGTCGCTGATATCCGTGGTTTTTAGGAGATCAGCGATTAGCTTGAACAGA